TGAGACCTTGGGTCAGTCATAAATTCTTTCAGAGCTGTTCTCTCAAGGGCAGTTCTTCAGAGAGCTCTCTCAGCCCCCCCCCCACCTCTCATGGTGTCTGTTGTGGGGAGGGGAAGGGGATCGTAAGCCATTCTGATACTCTTTCGGGTAGTGAAGGGCAGAGCATAAATCCAATCTCCTCCTCTTCCTCCTCCACCGCAATCATAAGGGCTAGAACATTGCCTTCTTTAAAAAAAAAAGTGATGAGGGCTTTTGGTGGAATTCTGTACCTAGTTTAGCTACATTTTTGTCCCATCCATCATCTGAGTAGTTTAGAGCTGGATAACTCCCCACCCTTCCATTTTCATCCTCACCACAACCCACTAAATCAGATGAGGCTGAGTGAGGGGTCGGCCCAAGACCTCCCAGTGAGCTTCACAAGAGAGTGGCAGTTTTCAATCTGGGCCTTCCTGGTCACAGTCCGACACTCTTACCACTGTACCACATTGGCTCTTGTGGCATAAACATGACTGTGCCCTGGAGCCCATAACATTTCCTTGATGGTGAGGAGGAGAAAGATACCTGTGCATGTGGGGAGAGGGAGAGGCTTTGAACAAAGTCCTCCTACAGGCTAAGAATTGGCCCTAAAGCCAAATTCAACTGGCAAGAGCTTCTCATCTGGCCCCCGCACAGTCCTTCATCCCACGGGGTGTGTCGTCAGCATGTCTCTTAGCAGGAACTCATTAGCATAACAGGCCACACCCAACAGCAGACACTCATTAGCATATTAGGCCACACCCTTGACAGCACAGCACATTAGCCTGTTAGGCCGCACCCCCATTTTACCAGAAGTATGGTCATCCAGCCACACCCACCTTTTGCTTCTTATTCTGTTTACTTTGTTGTCAAAACCCAGAGGTTTTTTTTTGTAGCAGGAACTCCTTTGCATGTTAGGCCACACACCCCTATTGTAGCCAATTCTAATGCATTTCTGCTGTTGGGTGTGGCCTATTATGCTAATGAGTTCCTGCTGGGTGTGGCCAACTCAGGAGCCAGCCGGAACTCCGTTCCTGTGCGTTCCTGCCCAAAAATAGCCCTGCTCTTAGCCACCTTCTCCCCCGCAAGCCACTCCTCTCAGGTCAGACTTTGCCCTTTAACGTCCCCCAGGTAAAGAGGACCTAAATGTTGAAGTGCATAAGGGAAGAACTCTGAGTCAGATCTCAGCACATAGCTAATAACTCAAAGCAAGTGGCTGAGGGCCAAACGAGATGTAACACTGGAAGTTCTGTGAACAGAACTCTCAGCATTTAAAAAATCCAACTATTAGGCATTTGGGGGACCTCACTTTGACCAGACCTGCAGTGTGAGTGGTGTTGAGGTTAAGCCCTGCATTGTTTTCCTGCCCTGGAATGGCCCACGGAAGCTGTTTTTTGCCTTCCTGGGAAAATACGAGGGCTGTGTGAGGCAGATACACATATCTGGCCTCAACAGGGCATGATAAATTATGGCAACAGTTCCTTATGGCCAAAATCGCAGATTCAATACAAAGAACACAACAGACAAGCATAGCTCCACATATGAGATTTATTAAAACATGGTCACCGATACTAAATTATATGTCAAGGAAAGAAATACTCCCGGCTGACACCGCACACCACAAGTGGTTACACCTGTGAGATATACTAGGTAATCAGATCTGCTAAGATCAAACTACGCACCCACACTCAAAACAATAATTACAACACTTATCAAAACCAATATACCGAGGGGAACATTTTACCATTTACTAACCAAAGGTAGTACTGTACTGAGTAATGTAAAACAAAATATGTGTTATTTGTATATGTACTTTTCTTATTATAATAATAAAAATATTCATTCAAGAACAGGGCAAATGTTGGGTAGATCAAGGCTGAATTTTCCCCTAACAGAAATTTCCACCCATTCCCACTTCCCACCGTAGACCTTGCTTGTAGAGTTGGCAATCTTCAGGTAGGACCCAGAATTCTACTGGAATTACAACTAAACTCCCGACTACAGAGATCAGTTCCCCTGGAGAAAATGGCTACTTTGGAAGGTGGACCCCATTGAGGCTCCTCCCGTCTGCAAACCCCACCTTCCCCAGGCTCCACCCCCAAACGTCCAGAAGAAATCTCCCAACTCAGACGTGGCAACCCTAGCCCCTAGCGTTACCAACCTCCAGGTGGTGGCTGGAGATCTCCCGTAATTGTAGCTGGCCTCCAGATGACAGGGATCAGTTCCCTTGGAGAAAATGGCTGCTTTGGCAGGTGGATTGTATGGGACTATATGGTGCTGAGGTCCCTGTCCTCCTGAAACCTCACCCTCCCCAGGCTCCACCCCCCAATTTCCAGGTATTTCCAGACCAGTGCTGGCAATCCTGCTACCTCCCCATGTCATTCCTCAGTGTCCCCATCTCCCAGGAGTGGCATTCTCTGGAGATTAGTGGACTGCAGTGGAAGGCAGGAAAGGTTCCTTCTGCTAATGGAATTGTAGTCTGAATCCAACCTATCGGCTTCCCAGGGCCATTTCAGGATGGGAAAGGGTGTGTGGCAAGGCCAAAAGCCTCTTCCCCTTCTGGTCCCGATCTGAACTGGGCCTCTGCTTGACTGACAACTGAATAAGAAAGTGTTAGGTGTTCGGTTCATGGAACATCTAAGTCTAAGGCTCCCAAATCTCGCCAAATCGCAGCGGGGGATCTGCATGTCTTTGCAGAATCCGTGCCGCGGGGACGGCGAGACGCGTTGCACCGCCGTCGCCAGGACATGACGCTACGCGTCGCTCTGGCAACGGGGTTGGAGCCCCGTTGCCACAGCGACGTGTAGCGTCATGTCCTGGCGACGGCTGGTGCAACACATCTCGCAGTCCCCGTGGTCCGGATTTTGCAAAGACACACGATCCCCCGCCGCGATTTGGCAACCCTATCTAAGTCACATGTAGTTTGACTCTGAAATGTATAATAAGGGGAGGCCATTTCTAAGGTGTCTCTGGTTGTTCCTGCTGGGGCAGAAGCCATTAAAGAGCACCTTGTTTCCTGTCTGAAAAGAACCAGTGGGCAGAAACAATATGTCTGGCCCTTCAGCTCTTTCTAAATAGGGTTGCCAACCTCTAGGCAGAGCCTGGAAATCTCCCAGAATTAAAACTGGTTTCCAGATGACAGAGATCAGTTCCCCTGGAGAAAATGGCTGCTTTGGAGGATGAACTCTAAGGCAGCTCCACCCCCAAATCTCCAGGAATTTCCCACTCTGGATTGGGTTGCCAAGTCGTACCTCGTCCTGAAGCAGGGGACTCCCGGGTTGATCCTGGAGCGTGCGCGGGCTGCATCCACGTCACCAGGAAGTGACGCGACCATGCCGGGCATGCTGGGGGTGGGGCCACGACCATCCGAGGGAAAACCATAGAGTTTTCCCTCGGATAACCATGGCCCCACCCCCAGCGTGCCCGGCGTGGTCACGTCACTTCCTGGTGACGTGCACGTTGGGGTGGAGTTTCCCCCCGGGGCCCAATCCGGCGGCGGCAGAGAACAGGCCTCTGGGGCGGGGGTTTCCTCGCCCCCCAGGGGGACTTGGCAAGCCTAACTCTGGAGCTGGCAACCGTACCCCTGAGTTCAAAATACGTTCCGTTAAAGAAATTGGGAGTGGCAGCTCAGAATGAAGAACTTCTGCTGTTTTAGGCAGGAGCAGAGTACAAAGTCAAAATATCAAGGAGGAAAGTAGTGCCAAAGCTTCTGAAAAAATAAAGAGAGAGCTACAGAATTTTTTTTTTTAAAAAAAAAACCACGTCTCTGTGCTTTCAGAGGTTGTGCTATTACACAGCCATGCTAAATTATTAAATGCAGAAGGGGAAAGTGGGGTTTTGGGTTTTTTTTTTAAAACACCGCTGCAATCCCTCTTTGGTACAAATCACTCCCCTAATTGCTACGGCGAGAGCCATTATGCAAAACAGAGTGCAAGGGTGATGAGAGACATGATTCCTTACCTGTATTCCTGGATGAGGATTTAAATACCATTTTAAAGGTTTAGCATCCAATAACAAAAACACTTCTCAGTTAAGCACTCGGCTCAGAAACGCCACCAACTGTCCCTATCGCCACCCCCCATACTTGCTCTCTGTGCCTTAAGCCTGTCAATTAATGACTCATTGCATGAAGACTGAAGGGAAAAGAGCGCAAAGACAAGGAGTGGGGGGAAGAGGCAGAGAGACTGTCGCAAGTTGTTACAGGAAGCAGCCTCCCTCTCCGGAGAGAAGAGGGACTTGTCGACTTCAGAAGGAATCACGGGAAAGAAAATTACCCAGATCCTTCACTGACTCTAGAAGACAGAGTTCCTTTGAAAACAACCAATTCAATATTTGAGCTTTGGCGTGGGCTTTTGAATGTGAAGTGCTGCAGCGTCGTCACATTAAACCACCACTTCTGGGGGGCCGCACCTCGTTTTTGAGCATTTACAGTACAATCCTAAGTACAGTTGTACCTTTCTACGCTTACGGATTTCAAAGGGATTTAGAAGGGTGTACTCCTGCTTAAGAATGCACTGTGAGGGCCCACCAGGCCCTATTAGAATGAGAAGGCGAGCAGACAGAAATTTAACATTACCCTTGCTATGAAAGGAGGGAACTCAGTGTTACAAGCCACACATGGATGCTGCTGAAATTGGCATTCTCCCCATGTTGGATTCTTCCTCCTTTCTCCCCGTGACGAAGTAAAACTTTCCTGCACTGTAACACCAGCACGCTGGGCTTTTGTTTGCCTCCTTGCTCCATACCACTGACTACCCCAGAAAGCGATGGCATCATGACACCAGGTATTATGAGAGAGAGAGAAGCACCATCACAGAGATGCCATTTTCAGCGGCATCCCCGTGTCACAGACGATACATAATTCTGCCCGAGGAGGAGAAAGAAGAGCAAGAGGAGAACTTGGAAAGTTGTAGGCATAAGCTCATCGACACACACTGTGAAGATAAAAGGGGAGAAATTATCAGAACAGATTATTATGAATGTACCTTTCATGGCTTCCTTCTGTGATGTGATACAGGCGATTAGCACCTCCATCGGCACACGCTCTCAGAACAGCTGGAAGGGAAAGGGAGAGGCTGTCATGGAGCGGCCATCGGCAGCTAAACAACAAATTTATTTACTTGGAGATCGTTCCTTGCAGCACAGCACGCCTCTGGGTCTGAACCTCAGCATTATCACCATCGCAACAATTGGGAGGCAGGGGTGGTGTCATTACCGGTGTTATGAAGATGTGAGAAGCCAGCAGCACAGATCAGAGGATCTTCACAAGTTCTCCAAGAGTTTTTGTGGGTATTTACCAGCACCCAAAACCTCCTGTTTGAAGTGTGCTTCCTTGGTCGTGAAGCCTTTTCTCCTTTCTAGTCTCGATTTTCACACGGTCGCTTCCTAACTTTATTAAATTGGGGAGGGGTTGTGGCTCAGTGGCGGGGCATCGCCTTGGCATGCAGAAGGTCCCAGGTTCAATCCCAAGTATCCCCAGGAAAAAAGATCAGGTAGTAGGTGATGCGAAAGGCCTCCTCTTGAGACCTTGGAGAGCTGCTGCCAGTCTGAGTAAACAATACTGACTTTGATGGACCAAGGGTCTGATTCAGCTGTTAGCCAAATTGCCTTGAATTATCAATTAGTCTAGTGGACGTTATGATTGTTAATTGGCAATAGGCAAATTAGGATTCTCACCAATGTATACAGAAGTCCCACCTTTGCTGTACGCACCAGAACAGACACAGAGACTGTATTCAATTAAATATAATGTCTTTTTACTGGGGAATATATATATATCATTCAAACAATACACAACCACACACACATTTATACATATGCTAAGAAATAAAGATAGATACTTAACACAGTTGCTTTAGCAGGGCATTCGTTGATTGGGCAATATTTACCTGTCTTCATTGATTGAGCCGTTCCAATGGAAGAATGGAGGGGTTTATAAATAGGAAATGGGGAACACGTGTTCGGAACCAGCAGAACCACATGGACTCTAGCTGCAGGTCTAGAGTTTAAAGATGGAGGTAGGGTATATGGATAGCAAGCTGGACATAAGAGGGTTAAAGCTTTGATAGGGGTCATGGAGAGGGTAAGAGAGTGATCATGTGGTCGGGCAGCATCTTTTATAATGTGGGGGGGCAGGCTAGGCTGGCCACATCCCCCTGTGACACCTACTGTTAGTCCGTCCCATAAAACACACTATTGGCTGGCTGGAAGAGGGGAGGGGGACTAAGGAGTGGTCAATACTGAGAGCTAGAAACTTAGACTGAGGACTGGCACCTGGATGAAGGATGACTGAATCATCAGGCTAGGGCTATTGTCTCTTGATGGCCCTAGCCGGCTTGCTGATGGGTGAGCAATTAGTTCCTATTCAACCATGAATAGAGTCTCTTGATTAGATTTGTAGGTAGCTGGAAGAGGGGGGAGAGAGGTTGCCTACATGTGCTGGAAGAAACTCCTAATGGTGTCTGGAGTTCTCTGTCCTCATGTTTTTTCCATGGCATGGCGTCTGAGGCTGTGTACAGGCTTATGGAACTGCTTCATCTCACAGCAGGTGAGATGTCTGATGACTCTGGACTAACACTGTGGCAGCAACACTAAAGGAAGGTGTCCCTCTCTCAGGTGTGCAGTCTCAACAGGTATTCCCAGGTCTCCATATTATACAGTCCCTTTGCACAGTTCATATTCCATAAAAACACATTGATAGGCTTGCATGGCAACACAGTATAGCGGTATGTTAAATATCACAAAAATGCTATTACACTTTCTTACCATCAAACCCAGGCTTTTAATATGTGGTTTTATCTTTCCAGCTGTTCTATGATGGCTGCAAAGGGGCAGCCACATTCGCGTGTTATAGCAAAATAAAACAAAAGCGCACTGGCACCTGAAAGACTGACATTGGTTCATTCAATACGAGCTTTTGTAAATCACAGCTCACTTCCCCAGATGTGACATACATCCTATATGTTTCTGGTATGAGGTCTGTTTTGTGGATAGTTTAATGCTGTTTTTATGGCCCTGGTCTGGTTTTAATGGCTTGTTTTTATAGTGATAATTTATTATTTTAAAAGTACACCATATCAAGCAGGACTTTGGAGTGGCAAGTTAAACATTTCCTAAAACGGAGAAGCAAACAAACATACATTTCCTTCACCTGAGATTCTGATCCTAGGCAAATCACTTCAGTTTGGTGCAGTGGTTAAGTGCGCAGACTCTAATCTGGGAGAACCGGGTTTGATTCCCCACTCCTCCACTTGCACCTGGCTGGATGACTTTGGGCAAGCCATAGTTCTGATAAGAGCTGTTCTTGAGAAAGAACAGTTTCTGTCAAGAGATCTCTCAGCCCCCCACCTACCTCACAAGGTGTATGTTGAGGGGAGGGGAAGGGAAAGGGAAAGGAGTTTGTAAGCCGCTCTGAGACACCTTTGGGTAGTGAAGGCTGGGGTATAAATCCAATCTCTTCTTCTTCTTCTTCTTCTTCTTCTTCTTCTTCTTCTTCTTCTTCTTCTTCTTCTTCTTCTTCATTAATTACTTCAGAGGTCCTCAGTGTGGTGCCCCATGGGTTCCATGGTGCCCGCCAGCACCTTTCCTGGTGCCCACCAAATGTTTTCAGGAAGTGGGCGGGACCAGTTGGGTTTTTTGTCCTATACCAGGGGCGGCCAAACTTGCTTAACATAAGAGCCACATAGAATAAACATCAGATGTTTGAGAGCCGCAAGACATGTACATGCATGTTTTTTTAACTGAAAAATATGCAGATTTGCATATTAAATTAAAGAGACAAACGCCTTCTCCGAGCCAAGCCAGCCTGGTGGTGTGGCAGGGCTTGGAGAACACACTTAATTTCAGATGGGGAGGGAGGGGAGAAAGACAGATGGAAAGAAAGCAAATAGATGGGGGAGGGAGAGGTGGAAAGAAAGCACCTTTAACTTTAAATGTGTCCTTCAAGCCCCCCAAGCCCCCACGCCGGCTGGCTTGGCTTGGAGAAGGGATTTAAAGAGACAAATGCTTTCTCCAAGCTAGCCGGCGGGGGAGGAGGGCTTTGAGGACACATTTAAAGTTAAAGATTTCTTTCTTTCTCTGCTCCCCCCCACACACACACCTCAAGCCTACCCAGGGAACGGAACACTGGCTGGAGAAGGGAAGACCGATCGGGAAGGCAAGCCTCCCCTTCGTTTTGCCAGCCGCCCTGCCTGGAGCCACGCAATATGTGTGAAAGAGCCACTCCCGAGGCACAGTTTGGCCACCCCTGCCCTACATGGTTCGTGATAGGCCACTGGATATTCAATTGGCTGAGCAGAGTTTCAACAACGTTCCTTGGGCAGCAGCTGCCACCACAACACAGAGATCTTCACAGTGTGAATGAAGGTAAACTGTGGTAGCCATTTTGTGGCTGGCTCCACCTCCTATGGCACCTAGTTTGTGGTAGCCATTTTGTGGCTCTGCCTGGCATGCTGTGTCAGAATCCCAAAGACGCCCACAGGCTTAGAAAATGTCGGGGACCCCTGAGTTTCTTGCTTAAAATGCCAGTGATTAATCATCACCTTTTCGTCCATCAGTTGACAGCCCTAATAAAAAATCACGAGTGAACCACTGCGGGCCTTCATGCAGGAGTGAAAATTCAGTTCTCAGCCTTCCAGAAAAAGAAACCTTAGCAGCTCAGCAGAAGCATTCCTGACACTTCCTCGCCCTCTTCACCTTGCCCACAATATTGTCAATAAGATTTTCTTGCACTACAGAAGGCTTTCATTTCCACCTCCACCAGAGAGCGAAAAGTAATATTCATCTCTACTTCAAACTTGTTTCAAATAAGCATCGGACCTCGAGATGTTTCATATTAAAACAGAAAGACACACCGGGAGAGCTCTGCACTTATACAGCGCGTCACGTTTTCTTAATATTTTCTGAGATCACTTGGAATATTTCTTATTTCCTGAAAGTGTCAGGAAAAACCACTGTTGCTCATATGAGCCACTCATCCAAGACAGCAGCAATCTGATACTTCAAATTAAAATGGTTGCCTTACGTTAACTGGATTTTCAAGGGCTCTCTGGGAATACTTCAGCAGTTCTGTGCTTGGAAAGTTATTTAGAAAAATCATTCACAAGGCACTGATCACACCGGTATGAGCCAGAGCCCAAAGGCACTCCGGCTGAGCAGTAGTTCATTAACTGCCGGATAAGAAAGGCCTATCAATTAGGCTGCTTTCACATTTCCTCCCCCCGTATGGATGCCAGTATGTCCCACATTTCTGGGAGCTCCCATTGTCCCGTTCCCGACGTCCGGGACCAAGGAAACACGGGAGAATGGCAAGGAGGAGAAGAACCCCCAACCACCGACCTCCGCACCTACTCACCTGGCAGCCCTCGGCCGGCCGGCGCGAATGCGGCCGAAGGAGCACGAAGCAACGGGCGGGCCAGAAGCCAGCGGCGCGGCCCGAGAGGAGCCGCAAGTGCCAGGAGCCCCAAGAAGATCTCAGGGGCCGAAGGGGACGTTCGGGAGCTGCGCGGCGGCGGCGGCGGCGCGGCCAAGGAGCCGCTGAGACCGCCGCCGGCGAACCCATCTGTGAGCGGAGGAACGCCCTGTCGGCGTCCCTCCGTATATAGGGGGCGGGGCTTTCGAGCGGGAAGGAAGGGGCGGCACCGGGTGTACGGCATGAAGAATAAAAGGCCGGCAAGAACGGGGACCAGGGAGGAGGTGATGCGGAGACGATACGAAGGGCTGAGAGAGAGAGCGACGGAAGTATCGTGGCATCAAGACGGAGAGACAAGAGGGGTGCTGTCAACCCCGTCTCCCGTCGGTCTGAGGTCCCGCGCTCGCTGGGGATTCACTTGCCGACCCGCAGGAGCCGCCCCTCCGCCCGGGACGATCCACCGACGCCACGGCCTCTGGGGGCGGAAACCCCCGGGACGAGCACGAGCCCGACACCCATGTCATCAGTTCCATTGGGAGTAAGACTCATGGGCCTCCCAGTGCTTTCCCACTGGAGCCAGTTCAAAGAAAATGTCGATCAAAATCTTTGATCTAGCTCGACTTCCGGTCTGTGGACCAGCGATGGC